AAGCTTGAGAGATCATATCTCTTACTTTTTCTATCACAAATCACATCTACAACTTATAAAATGGAGATTTTTGTTTGTTTCATTTTTTTAACTCAGCTTTTCAGAAGAGACCACATCTTTCTAATCCTTCTGATTGTTGCTGCAAATGAGAGGAAGAGCTAGGGCCTTGCCCAAGTGTCAGAACCAGCTGAAAAACATCTCAGGAACATGTTCTAGACAAGGCTCCAAGTTGTTCTTTATGACAATAGTCAATTCACTAACCTACTTTTAAAAAAAATTCTAAAATGAATATTAAACACCAAGTAGAATAATTTGTAAAAGTTAAGAAACACCAGACCTTCTCTCCAGTCACAACTGAGAGTCAAGAGATGGTTTCTGTCCATCCTGAGTGAGATTCTGAATGGCTTCATGGTGTTAACTCTGCCAGTTACACAGCAGGAGTTATGCTTAGTTAAATGCCCACTAACTGAAGCAACAGACTCTCTTTTAGATTTAGTTACAAAAATTGGCCAGTGACGCACAGAATTTCTCATTCTTTGTGGAACTATCACTCACTTCATCACCCTTGGCTCCCTGGCCAAAGCTATTCTGTCTTTCCTCAACTTCAGTTAAACTGCCTCCTACAGTTCACAAAATGATTTCCAAGGCTACATTGTGAATCTTTTAAAATACAACTAGCTTCTCAAACTTCAGTAGCTATGTGAATTCCTGGGGAAGCTTGCTAAAATGCAGATTGACTCAGTGGGTCCAGATGAGGTTGGGGAGGCTGAAATTCTGCAGATCCATTGAGCTCCAGGGTAATGCTAGTCCAGGGGCGACCTTGAGAATTAAGATTTTAGAAATGCATATAAATTGTTGTTATAGCATGCATAATAATCTTTAAATTATTTGCATTTAACAATACAGTACTATAATAACATTTAACTAAAGAGTTTTTATAGCATCAAGGTTATCTTATATGAATAAGGATACAGATACATATCCTGAGATATACACACATATTCAGATAGTACAGGTCTTTCCGTATTTCTCTAAATTATTAAGCTTGGCTGTTGTTCCATTTTCAAGAAAGGAGAATAAGCACTCTCTGATTCATTTATTCTTGATTCAGTTAACATTTATTGAACACTTAGTAAGTGCCACCATGTTAGGGGCTGAAATTATAGCAGTGGGCAGGGACTAAAGTTCCAGCACTGAACAAGACACATTGTGGTCCCTTGAAGATAGAAATCTATATTCTAGTAAAGGGAGACTCGTTTACCAAAAAAAAAAAAAAAAAAAAAAGAAAACACATAAATTATAACCAATGCTGTGAAAGAAACAAAGAGAGAAACAAAACAGGGGTGGAAATAAAGCCACTTTGGATAAAGTGGAAAGAGAG